GCATCAAATGATAGAACAAAATGGGAACATCGAAATATACTCCTGAAACTTCATAAAAAAACCATATAATACAAAAAAAACCTAATCAGCTAAATTTATAACAGAACAATATCAAAAGAAACTTTTCTTTTGACACAGGAATACAGGCTCATGAACTGCTAAATTATTTGTGCAAAGTAATACATAGTGAATGCCAATCTAAAGTTTTACAAACACTTATTACCAAAGAAAAGCAACAAAAACTTTCAACTGAAAGAAATATAGCGAGAGCTGTCGTATTACACTGAAAGTTTGCATCAGTGCACTTGATTGCTTCTAGAACGCAAGTACTCTTCAACAGTTTGCTCTTTTTATTTCCTAATTTTACGGAAATTATAAAAAAAATTTAGTAGCCAGGAGCTAAACATCTTCAATTACCAATTTTTAGAAAACAATTTTCAAGCTTCTGATGTGATAAAGAAGCTGTTTTATACTTAAAACATAATAAATCTGTGAGCAATCCTTACACTGTAACACTTGATCTAAACTTTAACACAGATTCAGAGACTCCAATTCAAAAATATACCACTAGACCGTGGTATGAACTGCCAACTGACAAAATAGTTGAAGATCTCAGAGCCAGTAATACCTGACATCGACAATATTGACAACCCTATAAATAAATAGACTGTAATGAAGCTTTTTCAAGGAAACAGAAAATTTTGATAGCAAAATAAGTTTCGAATATTCCCAAAAAATTATCAACAAAGAGCGACAAAAAGTTTGGATTGATAAAAAATTTAAAAAAATCTCGGCCGGGAAAAAACATCGATTACAAAACCAATTTAAAAAACTCAGTAAATCAGAGTTCAGCACAAAATTTCAAGTCCAATCAGTTTTTGTGAAACATTTAAAATTTACAAAATCTAAAGCGTTCTATCGAGAATAACTGAAATTTGAAGCAAACCTTCAAAATAAAAAACAAATTTAGTATTTAAAAAAGTTTACCAGGTTCAAAAAAACCAAGCCTTCCGACGACGTTAATTTAAAGTATTTTTCGGCTATTCGGCAAAACTCAGCTGTTAACTTTTCTATAGATACAACAATTGTTGGCAAAAATTAGAAAAACTCAGAAGTTTTAAATAACTTGGAATCACTTATGATGAAGTTAATTGTTCAAAAACAACAAATATTCTTTAGAAAAAAACGTTAGCCAGTACTGTGGGCGTTTTGCATTCTGAGAAAAACTTCGACAAAAACAACTTCGTTTGGTCCATAAAACTTTTGTTCAGACAATAATACAAAAAGGAGTCGTCGTCGTTTATGCATCAAATGATAGAACAAAAAGGGAACATCGAAATGTGCTCCTGAAACTTCATAAAAAAACCATATAAAAAAAACCTAATCAGCTAAATTTATAACAGAACAATATCAAAAGAAACTTTTCTTTTGACACAGGAATACAAGCTCATGAACCGCTAAATTTTTTGTGCAAAGTAATACGTACTGAATGCCAATCTCAAGTTTTACAAACACTTATCACCAAAGAAAAGCAACAAAAACTTTCAACTGAAAGAAATATAGCGAGAGCTGTCGTATTACATTGAAAGTTTGCATCAGTGCACTTGATTGCTTCTAGAACGCAAGTACTTTTCAACAGTTTGCTCTTTTTATTTCCTAATTTTACGGAAATGATTAAAAAACTTTAGTAGCCAGGAGCTAAACATCTTCAATTACCATTTTTTAGAAAACAATTTTCAAGCTTAAAGTGATGTGATAAAGAAGCTGTTTTATACTTAAAATGTAATAAATCTGTGAGCAATCCTTACACTGTAACACTTGATCTAAACTTTAACATAGATTCAGAGACTCCAATTCAAAAATATACCACTAGACCGTGGTATAAACTGCCAACTGACAAAATAGTTGAAGATCTCAGAGCCAGTAATACCTGACATCGACAATATTGACAATCCTATAAATAATTAGACTGTAATGAAGCTTTTTCAAGGAACAGAAAATTTTGATAGCAAAATAAGTTTCGAATATTCCCAAAAAATTATCAACAAAGAGCGACAAAAAGTTTGGATTGATAAAAAATTTAAAAAAATCTCGGCCGGGAAAAAACATCGATTACAAAACCAATTTAAAAAACTCAGTAAATCAGAGTTCAGCACAAAATTTCAAGTCCAATCAGTTTTTGTGAAACATTTAAAATTTACAAAATCTAAAGCGTTCTATCGAGAATAACTGAAATTTGAAGCAAACCTTCAAAATAAAAAACAAATTTAGTATTTAAAAAAGTTTACCAGGTTCAAAAAAACCAAGCCTTCCGACGACGTTAATTTAAAGTATTTTTCGGCTATTCGGCAAAACTCAGCTGTTAACTTTTCTATAGATACAACAATTGTTGGCAAAAATTAGAAAAACTCAGAAGTTTTAAATAACTTGGAATCACTTATGATGAAGTTAATTGTTCAAAAACAACAAATATTCTTTAGAAAAAAACGTTAGCCAGTACTGTGGGCGTTTTGCATTCTGAGAAAAACTTCGACAAAAACAACTTCGTTTGGTCCATAAAACTTTTGTTCAGACAATAATACAAAAAGGAGTCGTCGTCGTTTATGCATCAAATGATAGAACAAAAAGGGAACATCGAAATGTGCTCCTGAAACTTCATAAAAAAACCATATAAAAAAAAAACCTAATCAGCTAAATTTATAACAGAACAATATCAAAAGAAACTTTTCTTTTGACACAGGAATACAAGCTCATGAACCGCTAAATTTTTTGTGCAAAGTAATACGTACTGAATGCCAATCTCAAGTTTTACAAACACTTATCACCAAAGAAAAGCAACAAAAACTTTCAACTGAAAGAAATATAGCGAGAGCTGTCGTATTACATTGAAAGTTTGCATCAGTGCACTTGATTGCTTCTAGAACGCAAGTAGTTTTCAACAGTTTGCTCTTTTTATTTCCTAATTTTACGGAAATGATTAAAAAACTTTAGTAGCCAGGAGCTAAACATCTTCAATTACCATTTTTTAGAAAACAATTTTCAAGCTTAAAGTGATGTGATAAAGAAGCTGTTTTATACTTAAAATGTAATAAATCTGTGAGCAATCCTTACACTGTAACACTTGATCTAAACTTTAACATAGATTCAGAGACTCCAATTCAAAAATATACCACTAGACCGTGGTATAAACTGCCAACTGACAAAATAGTTGAAGATCTCAGAGCCAGTAATACCTGACATCGACAATATTGACAATCCTATAAATAATTAGACTGTAATGAAGCTTTTTCAAGGAACAGAAAATTTTGATAGCAAAATAAGTTTCGAATATTCCCAAAAAATTATCAACAAAGAGCGACAAAAAGTTTGGATTGATAAAAAAATTTTAAAAAAATCTCGGCCGGGAAAAAACATCGATTACTAAACCAAGTTAAAAACTCAGTACATCAGAGTTCAGCACAAAATTTCAAGTCCAATCAGTTTTTGTGAAACATTTAAAATTTACAAAATCTAAAGCGTTATATCGAGAGAAACTGAATTTTGAAGCAAACCTTCAAAATAAAAAACAAATTTAGTATTTAAAAAAATTAACCAGGTTCAAAAAAAACCAAGCCTTCCGACAACGTTAATTTAAAATATTTTCGGCTATTCGGCAAATTTCAGCTGTTAACTTTGCTATAGATACAACAATTGTTGGCAAAAATTAGAAGAACTCAGAAGTTTTAAATAACTTGGAATCACTTATGATGAAGTTAATTGTTCGAAAACCACAAATTTTCTTTAGAAAAAAAAGTAAGCCAGTACTGTGGGCGTTTTGCATTCTGAGAAAAACTTCGACAAAAACAACTTCGTTTGGTCCATAAAACTTTTGTTCAGAAAATTATACAAAATGGAGTCCTCGCTTACGCATCAAATGATAGAACAAAATGGAAACATCAGAAAGTTTTCCTGAAGCTTCGTAGAAAAAACCATATAAGACAAAAAAATGAGTCAGCTAAATTTATAACAGAAAAATATAAAATTTTCCTTTTACAGAAATACAGGCTCATGAACTGCCAAAAATTTTGTGCAGAGTAATACGTAGCCTAATCTAGTTTTTTACAAAAACTTATCACTAAAGAAAAGCAACAAAAACTTCAAATAAAAGAAATCTAGCGAGAGCTGTCGTAATAATCTAAAAATTTGCATCACTTCACTCGATGGCTTCCAGAACGCAAGTACTCTTCAACAGTTTGCTCTTTTTATTTCCTAACTTTACGGAAAGGTTTAAAAGTTTTAATAGCCAGGAACTAAACAACTTCAATTACCAATTTTTAGATAACTATTTTCAAGCTCATAGTGATCTGATAAAGAAACTGTTTTGTAGTTAAAGTATAGAAAATCTGTTTTTGCATCTTTCGCTTGGACAACATTTTTTAAACTTATAATGATTATTATTACCATAATGATTATTCTGGTAAAACCGCAATTGCTATCAAACGGTAAAATTTTAATTGTTTTGTGATCAAGCTGGGCTCTAATCCCAAGGTTTTTTCCCGTAAGTTCAAGATACAAAAAAGTTATTGATTCCATCTCTGAGACGCCTGAAAAGAGGCTTTTTTTAGTCTTATGGCGCTCTCTAGAGTAAAGCTTTTTTAAAAGTTTTCTTCGTTCGTAATTATGTACGTGTGGTGACTTCACTAGGAAACAGTTTATATTATGACAATTAACATTGTTTGATTCAATTGAGTCTTTTCGGTCGCGCCATGAAAACTTACATGACCGTGATCAAACGCTTGAAGCCGCCGACCCGAACTCGGGCAGAACTAATTCAGCGCTAATTCAGCATTGCTGAATCATAGTTGACGGTCGCAGTTTCAACAATTTTTCAGCGCTGGTTTTCTATGTGACATCATCCCGAGACAGAGTGCTCCTACGACCGTTGATAGAGTTTCCAAAAAAATTAATTTCCAAAGCAAGTTCAAAAACAATGACACCAGCCTGAACGTTTGAAATAAATACTAATCAAGCAGTAGTAGGTTTGCGTTTTCAAATCCATCTTGATCATTTCCTTCGCTGGTTTCAGGTATCTCAGTCGCATTTCCTTTTTCTTTCTCAGTGCTAGAATCTCCGCGCTCACAAATCCGCGGATGATCTTTGCACATTATGTTATGTTTGAACCAGTGAAACGTCAGCTCCTCTTTGATTCTGTGATATTCGAATACTTGAGATACAATGCCGGGTACTCCCATGTCACCTAGGTCTCGTCCAGCTATTACATAGGGTTGACCCTCAACCACACTTCTGTGATGAGTGCGCCTCAGATTTCCCGGTCCAAATCCAACATCCAAAATCATATTCATGCATACACTATGCAGGTAAATAGCCTAAACAGTTTCACTTGCTGTTTATGAATACAAAATATGACTCACGATGAGGCTCATCTATTAGTTATTTGACTGAAAAACATATGAATCTAGACGAAAAATAAGTTGAATGCTCATAATAAGTCAAACCACTAAAAGCTTTGAAAAAAGTAAATTTCTCTGAAATGGCTCTTATCATTATCTTTCAAAAAATCATTACCTTTTTTTCCATTTACTTTTAAAAAGCATTACTGACAGAGGAGCTGTGCTGGGCCAAAGGCTGAATATTTTATTTCCCTTCTGGGATTCAATAATCCCAAATGAGCACTAAAACGTCATTTAAAGTCTTTTTTTTAAGGCAGAAATTTTTTTATGTTAAACATTTCGTGTCTGCTGACTTATTTTTTAGACCAAAAATACAAAAACAAACCAAACGCGCATCATGAGATTCCAGCTTTTGCTTCATTAACCGAGCCAAGGACCGCGTTTTATGTAAGCCTTTTCCAATCATTTTTTGATTTATCAAGTCTTTCAAGAAAAAAAAAATTTCCAGTCATTCTATTTGGAAACCAAAGGTTTCTGTGCAAGTAAAGCCGAGTCGATTTTTGTAGATTTTTACCATTGATCGTTGTCACTGTAAACATTTTAATTTTTTTTTGCCAGCCAACTCAACATTATGAATCCGAAAAGCTCTAGATATTGCTCAAAACTTTTTGCTGATGTTTTTTTCACCCCCCCCCCCCCCCCCCCGCGCCCTTCCTAAATCCGCCCCTGATTTGTACTATACTTTCAAATTTTTTTGAAAGTCCACACACGCCCCCCCCCCCCCGCATCCCCTCAAACGTCCCCCCACCCCTGCGTCAGCCATAAACCCCCTCCCTCCCAGCACTCAAACCCAAACCAACACCCCCCCCCCCCCATGCGTTTACCACACCCACAGTAAACACTAGACATGTGTCTGTGACATGTAACTATGTAGTACAGGTAAACGCGCGGGTGGGGGTGGTGTGAGATCTACTCCAAAACACCCACCCCACACACACGCTAACACAACTCCAACCCCCTTCCCCCTGTTTACACATAATACACTATTACCTAAGTAGGTGCGGATTGGCAAACAAAACTCAATTGAAATCATAACAAAAAACGTGACTTTCTATAATTTTTCAAAAACGCCTTTGAAATTAGGAAAAAATTCAAATTGAGTGAGAGAACAAAATAACAATTTAAGTTGAACATTATTATGAAATAACGGAAAAAGCACACCGAAAGATTTTAGTAAATGAATTATGATCCATTATAATCGATTAAAAGTGATTTTTCTTTTGAAAAATTAAAATTGAAAAAAGAATAAAAATAATCAATTATAATCGACTATAATCGATTATAAACGGTTCTATTGCGATTGTATTGCTTAAACAATAGTATTTTTAAACTTCATTTTTGATTGATTATCATCGATCATTTTTGTTATTTTATAGATACTGACAATGAAAATCCAATATAATCTATTATCATCCATAAAACCTAGTGCGGGTATGCTCATGCCATACTTACTGCTCATGCCATAACAAAAAACACTGAATGTTCTGACTTCCCCTTGTTTGGTATCAACCAAACCAAACTCCTTTTATCTTTCTTGGAACAAAAAAAGGTCGTTCAACAGCAAATTGCTATTATAGTTATATGTAAGAATCTTGCAAGATGAAAATAAGTTGTCAAGACTCTTGCAAGATGGCGATAATCTTGCAAAGTCTTGCAAGATAAACAAATCTTGCAATTATCATGCAAGATCATGAAAGATAAACAAAAATAGCAAAAATCGTGCAAGATTTTGTAAGATAACCATTTTCTATCGACTATGGTACGTTCGAAGCTTCTGCTCAAAAGATGTGCTCACAGTTATCATGTTGAGAGGTTTGTTTTGGTCTTCATAGTCGGTGAGTTTGTTCATGTATTCGTCAGGCGACATTTGTTTGTGAAGCCAGCCGTATATGAAGTACTTTCGGGTCTGTGCATCACAACAACCACCTGCAAAATACAAATTTTTAGTCGGGCAAAACAACTGTTTTAAGCAGAATGACATTGCATGTTTTTTTTTTAAAAGCCCGAGCGATTACTTGTAGGTCTCAACCCAAAAAATTTTGTTTCAACCATAAGAGAGAAAAATGGAAAAAGTTATTGGTCTTTTTTTTCAGCCAAACAGCTAACAGTTTGATTTGAGATCATTTTTACCTAAAAAAAAGATCACTTCTCAACAACTGAATAAAATTGTGTGCGCATGCAATAGCTTTTTTTCATAACATCAACAGGGATGGGAAACACTATGGCCTGAAAATCATTGATATATATATAATCAACAATCGCCTTTAGCATCAAAAATGGTTTCATAGAACATCCCTGTCATTAATTAAAACAAAAAATTTTTAGAATCGAGGGAAGAAAATTGGATCTTCGTTTACGCGGACTACTAACTCGGGTTTTTCCAGTTTATCATGTTGATGCTTTCCCAACTGTTTCTGATAAGGACATGGAACCAGGCCTCAGCTATGGCTAATTGATCCTCGTTGTGATAATCTGCAGAGAGAATGATTTCATCTGGTTTTTGGGTGAAGTAAGAGTCGAGGCAATAGTAGTGACTGAAATACAATATCGAAGAGACTGTGGCGTGAGTAAAATCAGTGTAGTTTTGAAAAGTTTTGAAAAGTTTTGAGAAACTTTTTCTTGAATTGAGAAATATTTCGTGAACCGTTTTTTTTTTATTGTGGACGGCTACTAGTCGGTCGGCTAAGATCACCTTGCAATCGTTTTTGTCAGTTGGCTGATGTTTCAAGGAAGCATAGAGACAATTTGTAGCAAGCGACCAAAAAATCAAAATTGACCAAATATTCTCCGACATATTCTGCTCTTTTAAGAGGAGTTGGAGAATTTTACTTAAGTTAAGGTGAGCGCACCTCATCCCCACCTGGAAAGCTCTGTGCCATCCCTCAATCGAACAGTTGACTTTTTTAAAATCCTGTATTGACGTGATTACCCAACGCCTCTGCGTCTGTAAAAGATGGTTCCCACCCAAGTTGATTCAAAATAATCGACGTAGATCAAAAAGTGGACTCGTCATTTTGTCGGAAATTTCACAGCATAAAGCAACGTGACGATTTCCCGTGTTTAGTATTACTACCAGAGCAACAAATGCCTATGGAAACATGCGTGTTTTTTTTTCTTCTCAAAAGATTGATTCTAATCTGATCTTCTGAGTTTTGCGCCAATCAGCTTCAGCAAAACGATAGAAGTATCTTTTTCAGTGAACAAAAATATTATTTTGAAAAGCATAGGTTCGCGCATATGCAATAAATTCAACAGTTTCTAATCACGGCATTACCCCTTCTTCAAATGGAATATTTTCGTGACAATGTTATCCGGATCTGCTGAAGTTTCATCTGCAATGCTAACAACAGAAGCTTGATCAGTTTGTTTGCGTATAGCTTGCTGGACTTGTTCGTTATATCATTGTGGCGGCTTAGATTAAAAATTTCTCCGTCGTGGACAAAGTGCTGTTGTCGCCACTCGCTTAATACAAACGACATGTTGGTACCAGCAAGTGAAACGTTTTTTGAGATCTTATTGAAACAATGAATCAAAACAAAGGTATTACTAAGGTTCAATTACTATTATCTTTACTGTTAATTTTTTAAAATTGGTATTTACATCAAAACTGGTGTTAAATTATAATTTTCGATGACCCGCTGAATTTTAGTACCCTCATTATTATCGGAAAAACGTTTTGCTCAATTCGCATTGTTTGTTAATCCTCAATTAGTAATTATTAACGCTGCTAACTGCAGCTTGCTACGAATTCACGCTTGGTTATGGTGCAATTTAATAACTTCCAAAAGCGCTATGAAAAATCGTTTGCAGCAAGACCAATCGTAGCATGCGACGAAGTGTCGCCTCACACTTCGAAAGGTTAGCTTCTACCAAAACTCTACTCTCAACAATAACCACTCCCCTCACTTCACCACCACCATAGCGTTTAACCGTCAATTGAACTCACGGCCAAATATCATCAGTCGCTCTGAGGTTAGAGTTACGAAAAGTCTTGACATTATACCTCCAAAGCTGCAGCTTAAGTCGTAAGAAGTCAATCAAATTGCGCAGAACTACTTAGGTCTTAGAAACTCGCGTTAAATACACATGTCTGTTGCTTTCAATTCGCAAGGGTCCTGCTGTCAACCCTTGTGTGACTTATGTCATAACTTTGCGTGAATTTAGCCTCAGGACTAAAATTTTTGGTCACAATTTTTGGTTGCGACTAAGGAGTTTTGGCCGTGATATCATTACAAGTGCAACCAGTGTTGCGCCACAAACCTTGTGAACCTCGATTGTGGTTATTATGGAGAGAAAAAGGTTTTTTGAACAAAATATTGACACGTAGGCCATAATATATGGACCTCCTGCTTGAGTTTTTGACCGTTGATCGTCATGGCTCGCATTGATTTTTTTAAACTTGCCACTTTCCACTTAAATATGTTTCCCTTTTTTATTCGGCGTTTACTCGTTTGAGCAGAGTTGACCCCAGATTTTGTCTAATGAGAAAGCTCATTTGGTTATTTTTTATATCCACTTATGCAATCGGTACTTCCTTCAGGTCTGTATGTGATAATCTAATTTCTCATCATGAGTGATAGGCTCGGAGTGAACCCGGCGCCCTCCCTGGAAAACTCAAAAATAACATCTCCAAATTGGTAACCAGTTCGATTCTATTTTTCGTTTGCAATGTCCACAAAGGGCGGTAAAAAGTTCGGGCGAATTTATGAGTATAACCCATAGATCCCAATGGCTCTGGCTCTGTTCATTCCACCTAGTTAACTTTGACCAACTATATTCTGAGCAACGAATGTCATTTTGCTGTGCGTTATACTCGTTTTATATTCATTTTGCTCGTTTGTCTCTCCTCTGCTCTCAATCATTTAAGGAGAGTTTGCCCGAAAATATCGAGATTTGTATTTTGTTAACCCACTCGTTTTTTTGGAATCAATTCTCCCTAACGACCATGCTTACTAGTTCTGCTGTAAATGACTGCTGTGCTCTGAAAAAAATATATTCTGTAAAATCTTTTTTCCCATCCAGCACAAAAATCTTCGCTGAAAAATTGGTCGGTTAACCGCGCCTGATCTGCAATATCTTAAAAGCTTGTTAAATTTTATGGATTCAGAATTGGCAATTGGTAAGTCTCAATCTCATTCTTCTGGCCACTTTCTTTTGAGATATTAAAACTTTTCTTTCAAAAACGACAACTTGGACTTCTTCGCCTTCACCGAATTAGCAAATCCGGGGTTCGAGGTTTCGGCTTAATGTTGTTTCGACCAATTAAGTCGAGCTAGAACTATCATATTTTTACCAAAACTCCAACGTCGAGCGCTGCTTATGGTCGAAATACCTGAGTCGAATTATAGAATCGAACTGAGTCCGACCAACTGTCAAAGTTGGATCAGAAGTCCATAGTCGCGCACGGTCTTAAGTCGCGTATCTCGGCTTAGGCAGTGCTATTTCGGTTATCACTTTTATGGCCTGAGGGAATTTTTTCAAGATTGTCAGCAATGTTTTCACTTCAAAATCAATATTCTGACTGAATCAATTTAGTCGTGGCGTACACAACGTGCTAATTTAGGACCATTGGTTTTCATATAAATTAAATTGGCGTACACAACGTGCTAATTTGGGACCATTGGTTTTCATATAAATGAATTTAAGAACCAAATAAATAGATAAAAAGTGCGATATGGTACCACTAGAAACAAGAATTAAGCTTTTCAGGTTTTGAATTTTGTCAAGTTTATCTTTTAATTCATCGTTTTTTCAAAATCTACCCATGTCTCAAAAAAAATTAACAGAAAAAATAACTAAGGACTCAAAAAGTGCAATCTCATGCATGTGATCTACTTTCCTAGTCTAAAGTATATCAGCCGATTTATTCGTTACTCAAGATAAATATTACGACAAATGAAATTGGTAGGCAGTTTCTAATAACAGAGCACCTGTGAAAGTAAACAAAGGCACAAAGCAAATATTACAAAAATTGTTTCTGAAAACAAATTGGGGAAAGAAATCTGAAAGAAAGTTAATATTTTTAAATCTAATAGTAACTATTCTTATATTCATGTTTAGATATTTGTAGGTTTAGTTGTTGATTTATAATTTATTATCATAATTTCATTTCGTAGAAGTCTGTTTATTTAACCAAATTGTTATTTAGACTTTACATGTCTGTGAAAAAAATCAGTTTACCACAAGCTACCCGGGTTGACAAAAAATGCTTGTCATACTCTTTCATACAATTTCATAGAGTAAAATTGTATGTATAAAATTAGCAAAATAAGCATTTTTTTCAGATATGAAATATTATGATAAGCATTTTTCCATACTATGAAATTATATGACAAGCATTTTTTGCATTTGGTGGTTTTAGCCTTAAATGTTAATTTTAACTTTTTCACATAGAAATATATACCAAAAAAGTAACTTTTTGAGTATGGCTAGATAATTTTCAGCTTGAAAATTATGATGATTGAGAAAAAAGGCCTGTTTTTTTACAAATTTTTTTTACCTCAGCAAATGAAACAAAAGATAATAATGGTTTTTACAAAAAAAAGCATTTTCATAATTTTTGGGTTTTTGGGTGAGAAACTCATCCTGTACTACGTTATAAACACAAAAATGTCAAATTTGGTATGCAATTTTTTTTTGTAAATTTTATATACTAGCACAATTGCAAATTTGCAGTCAAAAAAGGGATTGAAAGTTTCTTACCTCAATTTTTTTATTTTTGTTTATGAAAAAAATGCATATCATACAATTTTCATATATGAAAATTTTATGATAAGCACTTTTCTGACCAAAACTAACTTTATGTTTTTGATTGGCAATATGCCCTCTATCATATATATACTTATTTAAATCTATTCAAAGTTACCCAGACACGTTTTTTGGTGATTTTTGAAAATTTTATTTTTTCTGTGACGAAATGACTATTGTATAATTTTCATACATGATTATTGTATGACAAGCAATTTTTCCATAGACTTCATATATGAAACTGTATGATAAGCACTTTTCTTCTGTGGACGTCAACCCGGGTATCTAATTTCAGGTGTATTGGGCGAGCTGTGGCATACAATTTAAGCAGCAGCTCTATTTTTTTAACCTGTGATGTCTGCATGCCTTTCCGAATAAGCTGACCCCGTTTGCGATCCAGAATAGGAGTGACTCCCACTCGGCAGTCGCATTGTCAGTATAGAAATGAGGAGTCATCAGTGGTTCGTGAGTGCCGGCCGAAAGGGAGACGCATACTAAAACTATCAGGATATATTCAAATCAATTTTCGGATCAATTTTATAAAAAATTTGCGCCGAAGGCTATCTTAAAACCAGAGTTGGTCAAATTGGAATCGGAACATTTATGCATAATTCAGTCGAGCTTCTCGGTAATCAAAAAGAATAGATTTTACAAAAAAATTGTGTTTCCTGTTCAAGATATCGACTCCCAAAGTGGAAAAATGTACAAAACTATTTTATTTTTGATGATTTTTAGAAAAAAAAGTGGAGGTTTAAATTTTGCTATACTGCCGATGCTCTGGATTATTTTTGTTAAGTTTTTTTATGATGCTGCAAAGGATAACACAATTAACTAATGCGTGCCAATTTAACCCGCAACAAAAAAAACTATTCAAAATGGAATAGATCCAACTTGACGGTTAAAAATTATATTCTTTTCCTTATTTTCTTTTTCAAAAGTAGTTTGATATCTGTTTAGCTTCAGTCAGAATATTCAAGCATTGCTTCGATATGCGAGATATTTTTCCGTTTTGAAAGAGTAGATTTTTGATATAAAGGCTCCCCAACGTTAGCCCCAACAGCTTCTACCTGTTGTTTTTCAATTATTTTTGTAATTCCGATGTGTATTGGCTTGAGGATACAGCGAATTGGTGTAAATTAAGCGGTTTGTTGTAAATTCGCTTGCTACAAAGTTTCAAAAACTCGCTCAGATATCTTTGCGCATGCCTAAAACTAATGAAAAAAAAGACGAAAACCGTAAAACACTCACATGATAGAGTAGCGAAAGCAAGCATCTAGTTGATCGGAAAACACAAAACGAATCTACACTGAATTGAACTTTTAAATATCTTCTTCGAACAAAAATAGCTAATAGAACAAAGTAAAATTATGTTGTTTACCGATGATATAACCTTGCAAAGGGTCCATTTAGTTCTCTAGTTTGTGTCCATTCAAAATTAGTGCCTATAAGTTTTCATATCTTTTGTTTCACTCAACCTTAAAATACACTTATGAGCTCTATCAGCAGCTAATAACCATAATAAGTTAGTTGGAAATTTACATTTCAGCGCTCTATTAGTTGAACTGAAGATCAATATTTTTTTAGCTACTTTCAATTTTTGGTTGAACTTATGTAAAGAGGATTAAATCTTACGAGAAACAAGCAAACCAACAAATTTTACAGTGCTTTTCATAGAGTAGCGGTTACACGTCTGGCTGAGCGTTTTATGCAAATTTTGGGTTGTTTTATGGGCTGATTAATTTTGTCTCAAGGACTAGCAACAAGCACGGATTATTTTGGTCATAGAAATCTCCGAGCTTCCAATTGAGAAGCGGAATCTCAGCCACTTCGCCGCAGCGTCACAGTCCTAAAAGAAACGCATCCAACTTCAAGCGTTAATAATCGATTATAATTTGATTTTAGTAACAGTCTTAGTAAAATGAGTATAAAATTGATTTTAGTCGTTTAATTTTCGATTATAATCTCTCTTTTCGATTTCAAATATAATAAATTATAATACATTGTAATTTATTATAATAGATTATTTTTATTCGAAATTCTAATTCATTTGTTTCGCCGAAAAAATCGATTATAATCATTTATAAATGTTTATAATCCATTTTGATTCTCAATTTGTCTTCGGCCTTGCAAATGAATTGCTTATATTTTATGCTTTTTGAAAAAAAATGGCTGACATGAAAAATAGGAAAATTGTTTTAATTCAAATTTTTGTTTTTCAGTTCATCTTGATTAGATTTATTTCTTGATGCAAATTTCAGGTTTCTTTGACCACTAAAATATCAGCTCACTGCTTTATTTTCATGATTTAATTGGAAGGGCTATATTTCACCTACCGCGAGCACCTTTCAACGAATATGAAGTGATCTCTATGAATTTTTTGTTTCGTGGTAAAATTTGTGTTCAGTTGAGCCAAAGTATTAAAACAGTTCATTTTTAGAGATTTTTATTGAGAAGAAGATTATAATCTATTATAAGATATTATAAAAGATATTCGGAAAAAGTGTAATGAGTTATAATTGATTATAACTTATTTGTATGTCACGAAAAATGTTATCATTATAATGGATTATAAATCGCTTAAAAGTCTAATTTTTGCGTTTGAACTTCTAAATGTAGGTTTAATTTTAATAAAAGTACAATAAGAATTGTAATATAGTCGATTTTTTTCTCTTTTTATCTAGTGCTTGGTAAAATGCAAACCTGACCAATTTTGATTTATATGATTAAACTATCAGGACCTAATTTAGGTACTTGCAGACTGGGCCGAACAAAATCGTGTTTTCCAGACCGTCGCGAGTAAATTTTGGTAGTTATATACTTTGCACAATGCGTTGATGTGTCTGCGGTGATGTTTCTGAGGAATAGGTATCCTCAAAACGAGGTATCCGCAAAACGTCTCGCCAATTTAGGTGGCTGAATAAGCTCGCGACAAACTTCGCGCTACTGACGATCAAGAGGCAATTTTATCAAGCTCAGAAATCGTACCACAATGAGTTGAGATGCTAGTTGCTCCTTTTAGACTGTTACGTTGTGCTAAAATAAAATCGCTTTGTACTTAAAATAATGCGTTGGGGATGATTTTTTAAAATTAAAAGTTTCGAAAAGCTTAAAAATTTATTCATAACTTAATAGCGCTAAAAACGTATCTTATTTTTGCCAAAATCTTACCGAAGCTCTTTTCTGCTAATTCTTTTCTTAATTCAAAGGTCTTGTACAAAGTATTTTCTTCAGTCGCACAGCAGATCAAATTCTTTTCTGAAGTTGCAAATTCTTTTTACAGTCTTATCTTAGTTGCGACAAAATCTCATGTGAATTGCATCAAAGTCTTCATTTATTTTAGTCAGGCGAAAATTAGTCGCACCAATTTATTTCTTCCTTCAGTCGCGCTGCAGCTCAAATCCTTCTTGAGTCGCAAACACTTTTTTTCCCACATCGCGCCTCTAAATTATTTTGTTAATTTGCACCGCAGTTCAAATAAGTTTTTGATTTGATAAAAATGATAAAGACGTTGATGACGCGAATTAGAAAAGAAATCGAGTGGCAGCGCGACTGAAGAAAAGGCATGGTTGGCCTGAACTTCAAAAGAAAAATTGGCTTGCGACTTTAGTAAAAGTTTGGGAATTGGAGAACTCCTCGACCTTGCTGCATTTTTTTTAGTTGCGACTATTTAAAATTGTCAAGATTCGGTAGCGCTGGTAATGCAATTGCCAATTTGAAAACGCACTAGTCTGGAATCGCAGAAATTGAGTCGCATCAATCTTCTCTTAAAACGCGGACCTCGATACGTAACTTGGAAAATCAGCATTGTTTGCTTTTTTGTTTGATCGAATATTCATTCAGCACGAAAAACTTTTTATCACATTTACTTTTAGCATGATATTGATATCGGGCTCTAAACGATTTATTTCCCTTTAGAAAATTGGTTGACAGAGTGACTAAATTAAACATTAATTGTCAAAAACTTCTGGCTACTTTCGTTAAATTATATTTTTGGATCAGTTGGATAAAATGAATGCTGGTTCAAACAGTTATCATATAATCAACAAAAAGAAGCTCCTATTATCAAAACTGATGTAGGATTTATTCCGTAGAATAATTTTATAAATAATTGTATGGATGAGTCATAAAGCACTCGTTTACAAGACAATTTAGTTTTCTAAAATTAAGTTTCGTGATTTTATAGGTTTCAAAAACAGCATCCAAAAAAAAAAAACTAAAAACCTTCATTGTGATCCGTCTGTAGTTTTTGTAAGGTTTAAATTGCTTTAGTTCCGCTGGATTTTCAAGGAAAATCCAGGCCACTGGATTTTCCTTGAAAAGTATCACAGAATGTCACAAAATCTTCATCTTTGAACCAATTTTTGAAATTGACAGAAAAAAAATTAGTTTTTTTTTGTTTTGTCATCTTGTGGGAGGGGGAGGGGAGAGAGATGGCGCTATTTAAAATTTCATGATTTAGATGAATAAAAAAGATTAAAAACCAATTATATCAACAATGAGACACTGATAACATGTTTTTCCCAACAACGAGATACTTACACATTAAACAGGGAGCAACCGACGCAAATCAGAAAACAACGCAGCTCGACCTGCAGTGCAATCTTCCTCGCATCTATGGCTATAGTCCAGACTTTGGCGAGTTTCCAAACTTTCTCGACTTTATAACCACGCGTTTGCCCACAGCCTTATGCCTCAAAATCCACCCGCGATTATGCAATTTGGGCTTGACTCTGACAGTACAGCACCCTTCAAAGAGTGTATATAAGTCGCGGGTCTCGACCCGAGTAGCTGCCCTTGAAGTCAACCGTATATGATTTGCAAACAAAGGAACATCAGGGAACAATGCAGATGCTATATATGGTATTCAATTTTAGATTCGGTTAAGCAACTAAGAACCAAAACGTTACGCATGAAAATCACTTAATGCTGCCTGGAAAAAGGTCTCAATCAATCACCGAAAATTTGATTGCCATAAAAGTTCCCTCTTTCGCAGACATGTCAAGTAATATATGCGCTTGCGTTAGCTTTTTAGTCTCTCCGCCACTTCCTCATCAGATTTAAAAAAGTTTATGCAACCAGCTCAAATTAATTTTTCTAACTGCAATGGGTTTTTTAATGAAACGGGGTTGATTTCAAAGTCGGAGGATTATAGTGCATCGCTTCCACTACAATTCTAATTTAACTGAACTTCTTGATTTATGGTAAACTGGTAAATGCCAACTTCACGTATCTTTGATTTTAGAAATTTGTTGGTAAGAAAACTTCAAAAAAAAACAAAAGATTTTTTTCAAGAAAGAGTTATCGTTAATGTAAATTTCAGGTAGAATAATGTAGAACTGCAACGCATAAATTAGTCGGAGACGATGAGTTCGAGATCAACCGAAGGTGACAGACAACTCCGAAGGTGAAACACAAGTTAGCACCGGAACTTAGACAGATTGATTGATTGCATTGAAATGAGA